TACTATGCGTCAAAAGTTGTAATACATTTTCCGAAGGTACTAAAACGTTAAAAAATAACGAAAATAATTTTTTTTTTCAAAAATTATAAGCGATCGTGAAAATTTTTTCAAGTAAAAGTTATGTGAAATTATACTGTCAACCCAACTGAAGAAAAAAAAATTATAGATTTAAAAAAATAGCGAAATTAGTACTCACATCCGGTATAACCGGAAGTACAAAAAGAATGATTTCATGTCGTAATAATCCGTTTTAGCGACCTAACTATGCATTCCAAATGGTTTTCTTATATCACTAATGATAAAAAAAAATATGGGGGTGAGCCACATTTGAGGGACACCCGGTATACAGGAGTAGTTCAACACTTTTGTATATGGATCCACGTTGACTGTAATAAACAATCTTTGGGAATCAACAATACATTGTAGAAGAACGTTATGAAAAAGTTAGTTTTAAAATCTGATAAGAAATTAATTTGTTGGAAATTATTTATTTAATTGGCAAATTATGTTAATTTTATTCCTCAATTATGTGACCCATAAACTTATAAACTACCCATATCGGCTTGTATTAATATAAAACGTTCTGTATGATCTGAATATATGAAGAATGGCCAACTATATAGACGTTCTATTCTGAAAAAAAATCTATAACAACCGACCAAAATACAAAAAAATAATGTAATAAATAATTATCAAGATCAGAAATTGCGATGAAAAATAAAAACTAAATAAAAAAGAAACAAATTCAAAATGAAATCCGAATCTACATTTTTCTTTACACACCTATCTTCTCATTTACCTATCTATCATTTCTATCTTGTTGATACAGAATGTCCGAATATTAATGATTAATTTATTTTTTCTTCAAACGTCATTAAAATACAACTTTGTTGGCGTGTTTACTCACGGTAGAAGTAAATCATTGTTGCATAACGACGGTTGTTAAGATCAACATAGCAAAAAAGTACTTCAGCGTTATGGCGCTAAAGTAAATTTCACTTTAGCGCCATAACATAAAAAAATAAAAATAAAAAAAAAATGTTTGAAGAAAAAATACTATGTTTTATTCAGAAGAGAAGCAGTTTCGTTTGTGGCTTGTCCGTCATTGCCGGACACACCACAATTTTAACGGCTCATCTGTCATTAGCGTCGCTAAACGACAGACCACGCCATAAAAAACACTGCTTCTCTTCCATATAAAACAATATACTATTATTTTTGATTTCATCGATTGTTTTATTAGTATGCTCGTAAAGACTTATGCTTATTTCATATTACATCGTTGTTTTTCTTGCTTTTTTTTTAAACGTTTTCAAACAGCCCTATGGTCGTCTAACGTTGAAAACCATGGATTCTGATGAAATAGTGATAGATTTATATACAGGGTTTCCCAAAACTCCCGGGACGGAGCTATAAGTTTTGAACAAGTGAAGAAAAAAAATTGAAAATTTGGGAATCACTAAAGAAATATAAAAACTACATTTTTAGACAGTTTAGAACTTCCATGCAATGTAGAGTTTTTTTAGGGGATGACCACCCCTACATTTTTAAATAGCAACCCCAGTCGAGTTTTACCTTATTTTAAAGGAAATTAAAAGAGAAACACAA